AAAAAAAAGAAGAAAGAAAGAAAGAAAGAAAGAAAGAAAGAAAGAAAGAAAGAAAGAAAGAAGAACACGATGGAGAATATGAAAGCGAATCTGAGTAAACATCAATGAGGGGCTACACTGAAGGATACCACACTGGCTTTTATTGGAAGAAATGATTGATGATCCCTCTATGAACTCTGACATTGTTATCTTGAAATAAAATCACAAGGGAATTAAAATTTGTTTCTGTGTTTTTATTTATTTATTTATTTATTTGGTGGAACAGGGGATTGAACTCAGACCTTGCGCTTGCCAGGGGAGCGTTTACTCCACTGAGCCATCTCCCCAGCCCCCATGTTTCTGTGTTTAAAGTCACTACTTTTATTTATTTATTTATTTATTTATTTATTTATTTATTTTGTGTGTGGCCAGCTCAGCCTGCCTGGGGGCGGGGCTGGCTGGCATGTGGTGCTGGGGGATTGAACCGTGGTCCATGTGCTTTGCTAAGCTTGTTCTAAGTAGGTGCTTTAGACCACTGAGCCATCTCACCTGCCCAAAGTTACTACTTTTAAAAAAATTTTGAAGTCAGATACCAAAAGCTTGAGTAGATCAAAAGAAGATTCTGACGTTATCTTCAAAATAGTGTTATAGTTGCTGTAACTTTAGGCAGAATGTAATCTGCTAGTTTGATATTTATGTATACTATTTATTTATGTCTTTTTGAGACAGGGTCTCACTATGCAGTTCAGGTTGGTCTTGAGCTTAACTTTATGGCTCAGGCTGGTCTTGAGCTCATAGTGATCCTCCTGTCTCAGCTTCCTGAGTGCTGGGATTACAGGTGTGCACCACAACCCCTGGCTATGTATAGTATTTGATAGTTCAGGTTGTGGGTAATAAATCAAAAAGGGCCCCAGAGCAGGCAGTGCTTAGACCCATACAGGAGTGGGTTAAAGTGGTATTTAATTATTACCAGAGGTTTATTACCATTAAAGTGGTATTTAATTATTACCAGAGGTTTGAGACAGTTCAGCACATCCTCCTCAGTACAGTTGCATTTAGTCAATCATCACCTTCGAGTGAGCCCTTGCAGGATATATTTCCTGTTCCTGGAGCTTTATCATAGGCAGTGAGAGCTGCAGTTGCAGGTGGAATGGTTACAGGTCACTGGCAGTGTGTGGAGGCCAAGGCACAGGAATGCCAAAAGAATGTAGGGATAGGGGCAAGGGAGATGGCTCAGTAGAATAAGTGCTTCCCTGGCAAGCACAAGGGCCTGAGTTCAATCCCTGGTTCTGCCAATTAAAAAAAAAGAAAAGAAAAGAATGTAGGGATAGAGAAAGAAGAGGCCTTGGAAAGAACTAGAAAAGAAAAAGGAAAACACAAGTTGACATAAATGAGCAGCTCTTTGAGGAAGAGAGGAATATCAAGTTGTTGGAGAGAGCTCTCCAAAGGCTAGAGGTTGTCAAAAGGATTTCTTTAGTTGACTTTTTGAAATCAACTGAACTGTGCTGCCCATGCTGTCACCTTGCTTTTTGCCTGAGTAAGAAATCACAGAAATGCTCAAGTCTGGCATGCTGCAAGTAGCCAGAGGACCTCTGCACTTCAAGACTGTACTTTCGGAACTCGTACTATATTAAGAGTAAACAAACAAAAGGATGATTCTGAGCCAGACAGTGTATCTGTAGAGACTCGGTCAGATGACTGTCTGATTAGGTATTTCTATAGGGAAAGAAATAGTTTGTACAACAGCCTCGCCTAAATTCTCAGCTCACTTGAAGAAATCGAAAGGAAAATATTGAGTTGGGTCTGAAAAATGGACAACCTCAAAAATAAAGCCTGCAACCTCTATGCTATGATCAAAATTAGGAATAGGAGCCCCAGGAGGATGCAGACCTTAAGAGGCGGCCATAGGTCCAGGCGCCATGGCTGCAGAGCGGGCCTGGCTCCTGCGAGGCTCTGGCTGCCCCAGTGTCCCTTGTCGGTGTGAACCCGGCGCAAGGTCCCAGGCCCCACGGTGCTCGCTCAGGTAAATTTTTCCGTAACCTTATGGAGAGAAAGGACTTTGAGACATGGCTTGATAACATTTCTGTTACATTTCTTTCTCTGACGGACTTACAGAAAAATGAAACTCTGGATCATCTGATTAGTCTGAGTGGGGCAGCCCAGCTCAGGCACCTCTCCGATAACCTAGAGACTCTCCTGGAGCGGGACTTCCTCAGACTCCTTCCCCTGGAGCTCAGTTTTTATTTGTTAAAATGGCTCGATCCTCAGACTTTACTCACATGCTGCCTCGCTTCTAAACAGTGGAATAAGGTGATAAGTGCCTGTACAGAGGTGTGGCAGACTGCGTGTAAAAGCCTGGGCTGGCAGACAGATGATTCTGTGCAGGATGCTTTGCACTGGAGGGTTTATTTGAAGGCAATTTTGAGAATGAAGCAATTGGAGGACCAGGAAGCCTATGAGACCTCAACATTAATTGGACACAGTGCCAGAGTGTAAGCACTTTACTACAAAGACCGACTTCTCTATACAGTGTTTAGTGTGGACTACAGTGATGAACTGGATATCTTGGTGAGTGGTTCTGCAGACTTCACTGTGAAAGCGTGGGCTTTATCTGCTGGAACATGCCTGAACGCACTAACTGGGCCCACGGAATGGGTCACCAAGGTGGCTTTGCAGGAGTGTAAAGTCAGGTCTCTCTTGCGCAGCCCCGGAGACTATATCCTTGTAAGTGCAGACAAATATGAGATCAAGATTTGACCAAATGGGAGAGAAATCAACTGCAAGTGTTTAAAGACTTTGTCTGTCTCTGAGGATAGAAGTATCTGCCTGCAGCCAAGACTTCATTTTGATGGCAAATACATTGTCTGTAGTTCAGCAGTTGGTCTCTATCGGTGGGACTTTGCCAGCTGTGATATTCTCAGGGTCATCAAGACTCCTGAGGTAGGGAACTTGACCTTGCTTGGCTTAGAAGATGTCTTTGTCCTGCTGTCTGACAACCGCTACCTGTACATCATGGACTTGTGGACAGAGAGCCTGATTAGCCGCTGGCCTCTGGCAGAGTACAGGAAATCAAAGAAAGGCTTGAGTTTCCTGGCAGGTGAAGCTTCCTGGCTGAATGGACTGGATGGGCACAATGACATGGGCGTGGTCTCTGCCACCAGCATGCCTGACCACAGTGTTCACCTGGTGTTGTGGAGGGAGCACAGTTGACCCCGTGAGCCACTGCTGCTGACTGACTGACTTTGGGTGTCGAGGCTGCAGGCTTTGGGTGCAACCTCTCTGGCAACCAACTGCATGAACCAAAGTTCTCTCCTAATGGTATCATCACACAGTGCACAATCATTTATCTGTTTTGCCAGGGGTCAGGGCTTGGGGAGGGGGTGGGCTTGTTTTATTGACATCTAGCACAACATGCTAATGGGGTACATTGACTTCATTTGTACTTAGTTATGTTGGTCAGTGTAAGAGGATGCATTTGGGGCTCATCTTTCTTGAGTGGAGTATTGATTTGAAGAAAAGTTAAATGTTTCATCTGCTAAAAAAAAAATAGATAACAATAAGCTTCTCTTCTGGAGGGTTAACAACCTAAGTTTGCAGACCAAAATTAGAGAAAAAGGAGGGCCGCAAAGAAAGACAACATTTTGGCCCTAGGCTTTCAAGGTCAATTAAGACTCAGGACATATGAGAACTTGTACTGTAATGTCACGTAACTCAGTAGTGTCCCAAATTTTCTGATCAAGGAGATTATGGGGCCAAAGAGGAAAGTGATCAATGATGTACAGTGTGCCTAAGGAGAGTCCCATGGAGAGAAAACATTCTCTCAGGCTTTCACAGAGAGCACATTGGCCAAGCAATGGCCGTGACTCATCCACATGGCTGACACTGACAAAGGTTCTACAATCTGAGGTACAGGATCTCAGGATGAATCCTGAGGGGATTTCACTGACCTTATCAGACCCAAAAGCTACAACTCTTGTTGCATAAGTCTTGCTTTATCTTGATCTTAACCATCCAGCAGAAAAGTATAAAAACAAATTATAAGAAGTACAGCCATGGTGTTATGTTGAGCTGTAGGGGACTTAGGTCAACAATTTCTGACATTGCCAGTGAAGCGGAAGCCCCAATACTGTTATGGACTACTGGACTCTTTTAGAATATTTTCCTGAGTTTACACATCTATAATATTCAAATAACAAATAACAGAACTAAACAAAAAAAAGGGGATACAGATGAATGTCCATTTTGTATCTGTGTATTCAAAATGGTTAGGATAGACATATAGTTACATTCTCTTAATGAATAGAGAGATTTGTTCTAATAGTGTTTGTAAATAGGATATCATGTCCGCATCTTGTACAGCAATTAACCACTAGGAAGAATGTATGCAATGTGTTAATTATTGAAACTGTCCTACCAATTTGGTTTGAAACTGTCTCATTGCTATTTGTTTCTCAATAAAATTA